CACTTCTGTGAACAGTTTTTTTATGTCATCTGCACTCTCTCCTGTTTCTTCATTGACTCCAATCAGTCTTATGTTATTCTTCTTTGCATCATTTAGCAGCTGCTGGATTGATTTCTCATGGTCCCTTACAATTCTAAAGAAATTTTTCTTTTCCTGGTCACTAATTGCAATCTTATCTTCTATATCTGAGATTCTGTCCTCACATTGGTTCATTCTGCTCCATAGACTTTTGATGGAGTTTTTAATCTCCTGGACATCTGTTTGCATCTGTTTTATGGATTCTATTTGTTTCCTATGTTGGTATTCCATCATGTTCCTCAGCTCCTCTTATTTTTTTATCTGTGTCCTCTCTAGATTTATTAATCATGTCTTACACTATAGACACATCTATGCTATCTGAGAAATGATTTCTGATTTTATTTTTACCAGATCCTCTTTTGTTGCCAGTTCAAGGAGTCCAGGTGGGTGAGTATCAGATTGTTCCATCTTGTTTCCCTTTGGGGTTGCTTTAGGTCATCTAGAAGTCTGGTTTTGAAACTTTTTTACTTGTCTTCTCATTTCAATGGGGAGGGGGGCAGGGGGGCGTGCTGTCATGGCTCACCTCCTCTGTGCTCGTGGAGGGGGTATACGGCGGCCCGGAAGTCTCCCCCTGTGTGTTGGGAGCAGCTCACCTCCTCTGTGCTTGCAGAGTGGGGTACGGTGGCTCGGAAGCCTCCTCTTGTGCACTGGGAGCGGCTCACCTCCTCTGTCACAAGCTTAAATACTGTATAGTATCTTTAATTTGAGTAAGGCATAGTACAAAGAAAGAGCACAATAAATATATGACCAATAGAAGGAGACAAGAGGATAGATCTCTTGCAAGTAGGAAGGGGTCCAAAAGAACACAGGTGAGAGGAGAGAATGATAGGAAAGAGAAATAGGCAGAATAAAGATATGTCATGTACAGGAACCTACAAGCCTCAATGAATGTAAACATTATATGTCATAAACTTGAGATAAGATTAATAATATCAACCTGAATGAAAATGGGGAATTTTCATTTAGAAGAGGAGGGGAGGATTGCAGGAAGGGGAAGGGACTTAATAAAAGAACCAACCTGTGGTGTTTACATGTACCCACTCCCCAAGATGACTGTAAACTGTATGTCCTGTAAGATGTACTAATAAAAAAGTGAAGGAGAAATAAACACTTCCTCAGCCAAAGACACAATAAAATAAAAATATGAGTAAATTGGAGGCTAGCAGACCTGCCATGAAAGAAATGTTTTTTTAAAAAAACTATCTTCAGATAATGATAAAAGGGTCAATTCTTCAAGGATATTAAATCCTTAATGGGTATGTGCCCACAGAGTGTAAAATCACTCAAAGTAAAACAGAACTTCAAATCAAAATGGACACATCCATTAATATATGTAGAGATTTCAACCTCTGAAAGTAGACACAATCAGTAGGCTGAAAATCAGTGATGATATGACAGAACTGAATAGTACGATCAATTAAACAGACTGAATTGCAGGGTATTTTATCCACAACAGCAGAACACACATTCTTCTCAATCTTACACGGAATATTCACCAAGACTCGCTAGATTCTGAACCATAAAGCATACCTTAATAAATCAAAACTAGATTATTCAGAGTATGGTCTCAGAGAACACTGTGGGCAGACACAGAGCTGGATGGACAATTTGTAGCCAACCCACCTCCTCTTTGAGTGACTTTTGCTTTCTCAACAATGACACCCCCAGCTCCTCTCCTATACTATTTCTGGGGAGACTCAGTTGCTACACTGCCTCTGCCTCATGCCAGCACCAAGTCTACTCAGTCCCCTTCTATCCTGTGTCAGAAACCACCACCAACCCAGAATTCGTGCCTGCTTTTCTAGTCTCATCGCAGACCCTCCAGCTGGAATGTGATCTTAACCAAGTCCCTCCTTTCAGCACTTTGCTGACACTTGAATCCCACAGCTTCCCTGGCACTCCCTGCCTCCCTGCAAGTCAATGAATCTGACCTTGTCAGACTAGGTGCCTCCATGTTTGTGGCTGTGAGCTATTAATTTTTTAAAAGCAGGGCCGAGGATTTAGCTCAGTGGTTCCGCTGCCTGCCTCGCAAGTGGAAGGTTCCGAGTTTGATCCCGGGTACCAAAAAATAAAGAAATAAAATAAAATAAAAGCAATGCAATTTATTTATAATGCTAAATCTATTTAAAGTATAAAGCTGCCTTTATTCTGCAGTAATACTATTTTGTCTCTTGGTAACAGAATGCCTTTTAGTTCATGAAATAATTGTAAAATTTTATTTTTCTGTGTATATTAAAAATGAACAAAAAGTTTGACAGTCCTATTTAGACTAAAAATGGTTTTGAAATTTTAATAGTTCATGAAAATTTCAATGTCTATGTGTCACTGCTATATAAAAGCAACTAAAAATGAGGAAAAAAGAGAAAAATGATGTGTAAAAGGTATGATGACAATTTAAGGGGAAATGCTTTAAAATAACATTCCTCATCACTCATCAAATTAATTTCTAGATATTTTTCTTCTAAGCCCATAATTTAAAAATTATTAAGCCACTGAAAAGGAAGACACTAGAAAAAATGTCCAAACTATAACAGATATGTTAGAAGGACGGAAAGAAATAACTAATTATGGATATGTTAGAAGGACAAAAAGAAGTACCTAATTTTCTTTAATTTCAGCTTCCAGAATGTGGATGATTGTGTTCTTCCCCGGTCTGGCTCTTAATGAAACCCATCTTCCAACATGCATCATACCCTGGGATTCCTCACTACAGCCATGACTCCTAAGCAAGTGAGAATTTCTAAGGGGCATGAGACTCACTATCTCAGATTCTCCAGTGAATAGGGACCATCTGTGGTTGCTGCTGCCTCTGAAAACTGGAATCCTGGGCCTTGGCCATAGTGACCATGTTTAGAGAGAGGCCTTGCAGAGGAATTAGAGCATCCTTAGGCTACTGAGAGGAGACAAGGGCTTTCTAAAAACAACAAAGAAAGTACTAAAAAGATGACCTTTAGACTGGTCTTGAAACAAGTACTAGGAGGACAGCACTCATGTGGTGACAGTGTTGAAGCCACAGGCCTTCAGCTTCAGCAGGCGGTCCCTCCAGTACTCCCTGGGCACCCGGAAGTAGTGGATAGTGCCTGCTAAGATCAGGAATGGGCAGCCTTCTAGCGTGAAGTTTGAGCCTTCAACTTGTAGACCCACCCTGCGGCTCTTCAGGTAGGAGGGTGTCAGGAGAGTTTGATTAATCCTGTAAGGACAATGGAAGTACATAAAGTCCTAGACATACAGGCTGGGTAGATCAGAAAGGCCTTTCCTTCAGTACCCTAAGCATCCCTGCAAAGGAGAGAAACCTCCATAGCCTTTCTTTGAAACATACCTGGGTAAATGGTCACGGCTGAACTGCTCCATCACTGATAAGGCTGAAGATAGGCACAGGACACATTCGAGTCTCACCAGGAAGGTCCCCATGCTGAATAGGACAGAAGAGGAGTCAGAGATGCAGGGCTTGAAAGAGGGCAGCTGGGAGCCAAGAGAAGCCTGCTAGGAGGATGGTGAGGGTGACAGTCCTTTGCATTGCCTGGAATCACAACAGCCCAAGGTCACATCTACTCACTGGGGGTAATGTCTACTACTCTGCATAGCAGAGTTGCCTGCCAAACTCCTGGATTTTCTGACACCATGAGAGTTTTATTACACAACAGAGAATGATCTCTGGGAAGGTTGTCAGAGGCATGAAGTCTAACCCTTTGCTGCCCCAGCATAGTCAGGAGGTGAGAGGAATTCCTGCATAGAGGGTCCCAATTCTCTCCAACCCAACTCTGCATTTCTCTGCTATCATAGAACATCACACAGTGAATTTCCAAAGCATATCGTTTTCATGGCCCTGATTTTCTTGATGCTGCTCACTATGGGACAAATGCCCTTTTCTCCCTGTATCAAAAATCTTATGAATCCAAGATGAACTGAAGCGGCACGGTACTGCAAGTTAGACAGCTGCCCAGCTCCCAGAGCAGTACCTGAATCAATAAATGTTTCCTTTAAGTAGCTAATTTACCAATTCAGTTTAACTTTTTTGCTTAACAGGTATTTGTTAACAGGTTCAGCATGATATTTCAATACATGCAGACACCATGCACTGATCAAATTCAGCCCTCTAAATCCACATCCCCCAAACTCTGCTAATCACTATTCTACATTCAGGTCACCACCACCCCACCACCCCACCCCCTGCAATAAATGTTTTTTGAACAAGTGTGATTTGCCAGAATTACTAAAACTATATAGCCTCCATATGATTCCGGTTTTAGTATTGGGTTTAAAGAGTGTTACCTTGGGTAGAGTCGGAATAGGCTGTTTAGGGGATTACACAGCCCAAGATAGAGCAAAACAGAGTGGGAAGGTGGCTCTGAGGAGTCTCAGAGGCTGAGCCAGAACTCAGCGGACACTCCCACACACACCGGGAGGCAGCAGTCAGAGGACACAGAGCCAAACCTCAAGGGACCCGAGGAAGGCCTGGCGCAGAGTCCCTGAGAAGGCGACTTCCCTGAAAGCCCCCGGGCGCCATCCAGGTCCAGGGCACCGGACCAGAGCCACCTTCCGCGGTCGCGCCCCCTCTACTCTCCAGGCCCGGTCGTGCCACCACCGCAAGGGGACCGCGCCCGCGCCTGCGCCCGCGCCCGCCCGCCAGTCCAGCGGCGCGAGAACCGGCCGGGAGACGGTGCGTGCCGCAGCTGCTGACCTCCGGCACGAAGGGCTTCCCCTGGGGCCCGCCCGCAGCTGGGGACTCCGAGGGCCGCTGTACTCCCGAAGACCAGCGCCGAGCCCGGAGTGGGCGGGCCTGGGGCCCGGGCTCCAACCCGCCCAGCTGCGCTTCAGAGGCAGCAGAGGAGCAGTGGGCTGCAGGCACCCTCACCTGAGCGGGGAGACCCACGGGGGTGTCTAAGTTAGACCTTAATTTAACACCTGTGAGGTTGGGGTGAGGCTCCCTTCAGCTTGCGGGGTGGGCAGAACACTTGCAAACTTCCTCTCCTCTGAATTTTACATAATATAGATCTGGGCTCCAAAGGAACTCCCCTCTTTTTAGCAAACTTCTCTGGATCTAAAAAGAAAACAAAAATCTTTTTCTAGGTCCATCCACTACTGGGCTAACTTATCAAAGATTCCATTGGGCTGCATTTTCCAAGTCGGCTCCTAAAAAAAATTTTTTTTTTTTTTTTAGCTTTTTGAGGCAAGGTCTCCCTTTGTAGTTCAGAGTGGCTCTGAACTATGTACCCCAGGCTGGCCTCGAACTAGCAGTGATCCTCCTGCCTCAGCCTCCCGAGTGCTGGAATTACAGGCTTGTGCCACCATGCCTGGCTCTCCTGACTAAATTTTGATTATAGCTCTCCCATTTTCTCTGCCCCTGCCACAAAGCAGGCAAAAGTGTATTTAACTGATGTTTAGGAAGTTTTGTGATGGTTTCTCTTTTCATATTGGTTTTCCTAATTGCATAACTCTATTCCTCCCACCCCCACCCACCTCTGCTGCACTGGAACTGGAACTGAATCAAGGGCCTTTGCCCTGAGGTACATTCTCAGCCCTTCTTATTTATTTTGAAATGAGCTCTCACCAAATTGCCCAGACTGAGCTCAAATTTGTGATCCTTCTGCCTCAGCTTCCCAGAGTACTCGGATTATAGGGTGCACCATGACAGGCTTTGTATTGTTTGTTTAAATCTCTTTCTGTTCTATGCTCTTTCTATCTGTTCTATTTTTAGCGCTGTTCCTGAAATATTGCAGAAGAAAACCCTCCTAAAATTCACTCTATTAATAGAATTTGACCTTTCCTGTGATTTTATTAATTTACAACTATCATACTACTTAAGTTATTCCCCTACAACTTCTTTCTTACCTACTATTATCCATAGTTTTTTATACTTAAATATTTGATTCATCAGGAATTTATTTTAGAAATGACTAGCAGATTACTCTTAAATTTCTTTCCTCTTTAATTTGAAAGTAAACATTTATCATATACTAAATCACCATGTACACTTGTGTTTGTGTCTGCATTTTGTATTTTATTCCATTGCTTTGTCTATGCCAGATCCAGCATGCAATGGGCGTTTAGCCCTTGCCAGACACAGTTCTAAATTCAGGTTCACTCATTTATTATCATAATAACACTACGTGGTAGGTGCTCTAATTAAATTATTAATTATTAAGTTAATGAATATCAATTGAGAGCCCACTATATTCCAAGCCCTGTCGTGCACACTGATAATACAAAAATTTAAAAGGTAGCTCATAATAATATGCCCTTGTGGAGCTTGACATTCTAATGTGGTAGACAAATAACAGAAAGGATCAATACTTAAAACTTACACTGTTATTTGGTTGTCAGTACTGGGGGAAAAGAGTAAAAAAGAAGCGAGGAGTGTGTGTCTAGAAGAGACTAATTTAGTTAGAACCTACGAAACTCTCCCAAGTGTGACCTGGGAGTAGACGCCTTTAAGAAGTGAGGGGTGAGCCAAGGATTTAGCTCAGTGGTGCCACCACTTGCCCTGCAAGCTCAAGGACCCAAGTTCAATCCCTGGTACCAAAAAAAAAAAAAAAAAGTGAGGGGTGAGTCATTTCAGTACAGCAGTGAAAAACTCCTCAGGCACAGGGAACAGCAAGTGCCCAAGCCCTGAAGCAGGGACACGGTAGTAAGTCTGAGAAAGCTCAGTCATAAAGGTGTGGCATGAGTCCCAGACATGAGGCTGATACGATCTGAGAGGTTAATGAGAGATCCAGATCATGCTGGGCATTAGACATCAAAGCCAGCAAGCACTTTAACTCTTGCCTCAAGTTTGATGGTGGGAAAGTGACCCAAGTGCTTCGAGGCCAGGAATAGCATGTTCTGACTGGCATGGTGACATAGTCTCAGTGCCCACAGCAAGTAAGGGAGACTTAGTTGTAATAAGGAGAGAGTTGATAATTGTTTGGGCCAGGGTAAGAGCAATGTAGGATAGTGTGAGGTGGTTAGATTCTGGACACGTCTAAAGCTACACAGGGACGTAGAGTATGAAGTCAAGGATGACGCCAAGGTTTTTGAGTAGAGGGAAAATGGGAAGATGGTGTCTCAGTTACTCTTGTCATTGCTGAGGCAAAATACCCAACACCAAAGTTAAAGGAGGAAAGGTTTTCAGCTCACAGTTTGTAGAGGCTTCAGTCCATAGTCAGCTGGCTCCAAGGCAAGGTGGCATGGCAGAGGGGCATCGCAGGGGAGAAACAGTTCATGGCAAAGCAGGGAAGGCAGAAATCAGCAAAGAAGCAAAGTAGAAAAGCACCTTCTTTCTGTCACTTTATAATCCATCTGGGCTCCCCAGCTTTGGGTAGTACTACCCACACCCAGGGTGAGGTACCCTTAATCCCAGCATCACACTCAATCCCAGAATCACATCCTTAATCCCAGCATCATACACCTTAATCCAGCCATCTTTGCAACTTCCCACCTATGACCACATGAGGCTTTGAGGGGATATCTAGATATAAGCCATAACATTCTATCCTGACCCCCAAAAGATTCATGGGCATCCCTTTATGCAAATGGATTTTAGTCCATCTCTAAGAGCTGCCAAAGTCCTAATAGTTTCAGCACTGATGAAAAGTCGAGGTCCAAAGTCTCTGAGATTCAAGACTAACTCTTAACTGCAAGTCCCCTATACAAGTGGGGGGTGGGGGAAGTTAATGATTTCCAATGTACAATGTCACAAAATAAATATTTCCATTCTAAAAGGTACAAATGAGGGGAGAGAAAGGAACGGGGCCAAAGCAAGTCCAAAATCCAGCAGGTAAATCCTATAGTTCCATGTCCTTCATTCAAGGTAATCTGTGCCAAGATGTGAACTACAAAGGCTTTGGGTAGCTCTGCTGACAGTTATAGCTCCTACAGCTTCTCTCTTGGGCCTGCTTTGCTCACTCCTTGCAGCTTTCCTCAAATGATTCATGTTCCTGTCTTCTCTAACCTTCTGGGGTCTCCACTGCACCTTTGACTTCACACTCACAGCTTCACTCACTGTTCTCTCAGGAGCACATTGCCTGGCCTTCTAGGCCTTCTTCTAAAATCTGGGTGGAAGCCTTCATGACCTCACAACTCTTGCATTCTGCATGCATCTAAAGCCAGTATCATGTGGATGATTCCAGGGTCTGCTGCCATCTGGAGCAGTAGCCAGGGGTCAAGTGCCTGCATTGGTGAGTACTATGAACTCAATCCTGGGGAACAAATTCTCCAGGCTTGTTCTTGTGATGTCTTCAGGCCATCTGTTCTATTGTCCTCTTCTTTCTTAGCAACCAAGTTCTCCTCTGCTCCATCTTTGCAGTCTACAGCTTTACTAGAGCTTCCTTTTTGACCAAACTCAATATGTTTAAAATCATTCTGCTGGGCTCTTTGCTCTTGATTCTCAGCATAGATCTGACTGAAAGCTCCCAACAGTAGCCATGACACCA